GGTCAAGGGGCAGGGCGCGCGTCCTATAGCATTTCTCTGCTACTCCAGCGGCACCTCCGGTTTGCCTTTGAGTTTGCTGTTCGCTATGGGTCCCGGTACGGCCGTTGACTAACAAACAATAGAAAGCTGTCATGATCTCACACCAGAATGTCATTGCCAACACGATGCAGTACTGCATCTTCGAAAACGTCTCACGAAAGAGCGAGGGCATCGAGACTCAGGTGGAGCTCGGCCTGCTCCCTTTTAGCCATATCTACGGCCTTGTGGTCGTGGCTCACGCAGCGACATGGCGCGGCGACGAAGTCATCGTGTTACCAAAGTTCGAGCTTACCGACTATCTCCAGGCCATCGAGCGATTCAAAATTAACCATCTTGTCATCGTAGGTTTACTATGCGCTTCTGATTAGTAGTTCGCCGTTAGCTAACTGTCCAGGTTCCCCCAATTGTCGTGCGCATGCTGAGCAGCAAAGACATGCTCAAAAAGTACGACCTCAGCAGCGTCAGATTGGTCTTTACAGGAGCAGCGCCGCTCGGAAAGGAGACTTCCGACGAACTCATCCGTCTCTATCCAAAGTGGCGCGTCGGCCAGGGTTACGGTAGGCCTCCGAGCTTAGCCTATCCAGTGGACACGATCTAACCGTTACTAGGCATGACCGAGTCGTCGACCGTGGTGTGCTCGACGAGCGAGCACGATATCTGCCCTGGGAACCCTCCGGCTCTCTGATGCCTGGGGCACGGGCGAAGGTGGTCGACCCCGACGGCAAGGAGATCCACGAATACGGCAAGCCCGGCGAGCTGCTCGTGCAGTCGCCGTCCGTCACGCTGGGCTACCTGAACAACGAAAAGGCGACAGCCGAAGCCTTTATCTGGGACGAGGAAGGCTCGGTGGCTGAAGACGGGCGACGAGGTCATCGTGACCAAGGGCCGACAGCGGATACGAGCACATCACCATTGTGGACCGCCTAAAGGAGCTGATCAAGGTCAAGGTGCGCATCATACCTAACATAGCATACTGCCCGATACCACGACTCCCATAACCCCATCCCACACCACTATCCCACCCCCATCCAACAGTCTCAACAAGCTAACACCCCCACCTCTACACAGGGCCACCAAGTCGCCCCCGCCGAGCTCGAAGCGCACCTCCTCGCCCACCCCGCCGTAGACGACTGCGCCGTGATCTCGGTCCCCGACGCGCGGGACGGCGAGGCGCCCAAGGCGTTTGTGGTGACGCCCGCATCCATGGCGTCGCGCAGCGACGAGGAGATGGCGGCCGAGATCATCAAGCACGTACAGGACTACAAGGCGCACTACAAGTGGCTCAAGGGCGGCATCGAGTTTATTGATGCCATCCCCAAAAGCCCGAGCGGCAAGATTTTGAGGAGGTTGTTGAGGGATCGGGAGAAGGAGGCGAGGAGGGCGAATGGGGCGAAGTTGTGATGTTGTTGGGTGTTGGGGATGGGATAGAGTGTGCTGAGCGGGTGTGAGTGTGTGGTTGGTGTTTTGGTCTAGCTCTTGGATATACCGCTGCAATTGCTGTTGTGCCATCTAGATCGTTGCTTCCCCCCAATAGATTGGCACATAGGGTCGATATCAAGTGGATTGTTGAGTCAGTAAATGAACCAGGAGGATTGCCGTATAACTTTAGAACCTTGCATCCATTCCTCATGCAAGCCCATGCCCCCAACCCCAGCTCATACCTATCCACCCCCTCAAGGCCAACTAACTCCCCCCTCTCCAACCCCCCTTAACAAACCGACCGATGAATCCCCTTCACCTTCTCCCCCTCCCTCCCACCATCCCCCCTCCCCCCATGATGGTGCAAAACCGACAAATCCACCTCATCCCTCTCCATCAACCGCTCCGTCACCTGCACCACATCCTTCACCAACCGCTCCAGCAGATCAAAACTCATATTTACGCGGATCACCACGCGTAGGATCTCGGTCCCGTCCTCGTGCGGCGGCAGCGCATAGTTGGGGATGATCCACTGCCGCGCCCGCAGCAGCAGCGACACCGTCTCCTGCTTGATGTGCGGGTAGGCGGCGCGGAAGGCGTCGGTGTGCCGGAAGGCGACGACGGGGAGGCCGGCCGTGTAGGAGGCGGAGGTTTCGTTTTGGTTTTCCGGTTTGTTGTTGTTGGTGGAGGGGGGTGCGGGCCCGGTGGATCTCGCTGACGCAGGTGTACCAGCCGGTGGCTTCGAGGCTTTGCGACAGGATGCGCGCGTTGGCGAGGCAGTTCTCCATGACCTCGCGGTAGCCCGAGAAAGCCGAGGTGGATGAGGGTTGTAGTACTGCACGACGACCTGGGCGCCGGGGCGGGAGAGAAAGTTGAGCGTGTAGGACTCTTCGGTGCCCGCCGAGGTAGTGGAGTTCAAAGATCAGGTCTTTGGAGAGGAAGGATTGGTCGCGCCACGATGATCCAGCCCGACCGCCGGCGGATTACGAGAACCGTATTTGTGGGCCTGGAGGTTGTTGTTAGTTGTTGGTGGGAGGTTGAACGGGGGCTGGGGGTCTAGGTGGTAACCTGAGGCATTGATCGAGACAACGCGAGGAAGCTCAAAGTTCCTATCATCAACATTAGCGCACAAGCTTAGGGAGTAGAAGGTATGCCACCCACCATTTCCACCCCCCCGTCCCGGCGTGCGTAAAAGGCACCACGAACCCGCCACTGGCAGCATCCACATGGATCGGGATATCCACGCCCGTCTTCTCCTGGTACTCATCCAGTATCTTGCTTATCGTCTCCACAGGCTCGAAATGCCCCGTATACGTGCTCCCCAGAATAACAAACACCCCGATCGTGTTCTCATCCGCATTCTCCCTCACCAAATCCGGATCCAAGCAGAACTTGCTCTTCTCCGACACAGGCAGTACCCTCGCCTCGACCTCAAAATACCTCGCAAACTTCAACAACGCCACCTGGGCATTCGCCCCCATAATAATATTCGGCTTCAACGTATCCAGCCCCTTCTCCCTCCTCCTCTCCTGCCACCTCCTCTTCATCGCCAACCCACCCAGATGAATCGCCTCGGACGAGCCCACCGTCGGCGAGCCCACGGCCTTCTCGCCCTTCTGCACTCCCCACAAGTGCGCCAGGATCGACACGCAGCGGTTCGAGATGGACAGCATGGCCGGGTACTCGTCGTTGTCGGCCAGGTTTTTGCCCATGTTCTCCACCATCAGCCGCTGCGCGTTGTCCTCGAGGTACGTGTCGACGAAGCTGGCCAGGTTCAGGTTCGGGCGCCCGTCTAGGTCTAGCTCGTCCTTGAGCATCTCGTACACCGTGTCGCCGGGCGCGCCGTCCCGCGGGATCTGGTACTTGGGGATGTCGCGCTGGCTGGCGTAGGGGGTGGAGAAGGGGGTGAGGTGCGCGGTCTGCCCGGTCGAGCTGCCGCTCTCGGCGGGGATGCGTAGGTTTTGGAGGTGCTGGATGATGTCTTCTGGGTTGACCTGTGTGGTTTGTTAAGGGTCTGTGGTGGTGGATGGGTAGGGTTGTATCTGGGCAGCGGCTTACATGGCGTGAGAGAGACATGATGGGCAACGTAAGAGACAGTCAGTCACGATATAAATCTTTGGTGGCCGATTGGGATCTGGAATTCCGAAACTACTGGACTGTAGGAGAGCTTGAATCTATGAACGGATAATCCTAAGTTTAATGGAAGAAGTAGGGGTCGGCGACCGAGTGGTTCACTACAAGTCATAATGATGACATCACCACTAGGAAACGAAAGGGTCGTCACTGAGCGGGATGGGGGAGATCGCCAGGTACCACCTGCAGCAAAATTCTACTGAGAGGGCTTATTGGGCAAGCGAGAGTGACGCAAACTGATTCCTGGTATGTGGCCTTCAAACATGGTCAATTCATCAAACCCGGTTGAAGCTATTTCGATGTTCTTATCAAACGGATTTCTTAGCTGGGGGACAGCGAATGATGGTTCTTCGAGATGGCCGGTAATAAAACGCTGCGTTCAGTATTTTCTACGTAAAATACCTACTTAATTGGGGCGAAGGCATAAAATTCTAAATTCCAATGCAAGCCTGCTGCCCGGTTCTGGCAACTTCATGTACAGGTCTTCAAGAGGCTCCTGCCTTGCACGACTCCTGCCCGCCGCCGTTGGTTTGATCTAAGGGTTAGGGTCTGACGCGCAACTGGTGGCGAGGTGGGGCTCTGTCTTTTGCAGGTGTGCACAGACCCTCAGGGCCTGGGTATAAATTTTCTGCGGAACCCCCAGGTCTTCCTCCTCTTCTCTTTTCCTTTCCCATCCAAGTGCAGGGGTTTTACGTGTATCAGTGAGGATTCGTCCGAGATCACGTTTTTGCTAGTTGAAAACTACATACCTGACCGCTCCTGTTGGGTTTCGACCTGACAGGGAATTTTTGGAACCCTTCCTCTCGCAGGAGTTCGTCATTGCTTTCATTTCCATCGGCCCATACGGGCCGAGGCGAGGAAGGTCTTTGTCGGTTGCGGTGGATATCGAAAAACGCGTCACGGCCGCAAACGTCGGGGCCATCGAAATCCATCGCTTGCTCGTTGGTCTATGGTGTACGAGTATGTACCGAGGTAAAGAGGTAGTCCATGAAATTTTATTTTTATCGGCTCGCTGAACATGATCACGCAGTATCCAAAACAATCACTTCTGCCTCGGCGTCGCCCACGCTCTCCACAACAAGCTTATCCCCCGCATTGACGCCCTCCACAAACGCGCCATCCCCTTCCCCAAGCACATCCTCCCTGCCATCCAACCTAATCTTCGCCTTCCCCCCCTTCGTCATGGGCAAGTGCACATAGACCTTTCTCTTCGCTGCCTCCCCCACCTTCGCCCCAACAACCCACTCAAACCTGCCCCCGGGCGCAATAATCCCCGCCGCCATCACAAAATCCGCATGAATCGCCATTGTACCGGGGATCATCGGCTCGGCGGCCTTCTCCTGCGCGAGGGTCGCGTCGGGTCCGCCCTTGAGCGGGCTGAGCAGGCTGACAAACCCGGCGCGCTTGTCGTCGTCGGCCCAGTGGCCCCGGTCGTACCGCGGCGCCAGCCCCCGCTTCCACGGCGTCGCCCAGATCTGCAGGAAGTGCACCGGTTCCCGCCCATAGTTGTACTCGGAGTGAGTGACCCCCGTCCCGGCGGTCGTGAACTGCATGTCGCCGCGGCGGATGCGGCAGAAGAGGTCGGATTCGGGGGTTTCGTCACCTGTCGTTTTCTTTTGTTGTGTTGAGTCTGTGTGGGTGAGTTCCCCCGACAGGACGTAGCTGAAGATCTCGTAGTTGTTGTGCGGGTGGGTGGGGAAGCCTGAGTTGCCTTTGACTCGGTCCTCGTTCAGCACCCGCAGGGCTCCGAACTGTGTGAAGTCGGGGTTGTGCCATCCGGCGAAGCTAAATGAGTGGTAGGTATCTAGCCAACCACCGTGGGTGGCATGCCCCCGGGCGGCGGAGAGGTGGGGGGTGATTTTGGCGTGGCGGAGTGTGTTGGTCATGGCGGTCTTGATAGTGTTCATGAGAGAATGCTTTTTTGTATTGGTTTTACAAGATCGTTTGGTGATCGGGACGTATTTGAGGTTTTTGGTGTTTTTGAGAAATTCACTTCTCGAAAAGGACATGAGGATGACCTGCCTCTTATACTACAAGGGTACTGTGAAGGTGCTAGTTTGAAACATAACGATTTGGTGAGCATTGCAAACGGATTATCCACATCTATCATCATGAAGGCAGTCTAGAATTTCCCTTACTTGATGCCCTCATTGTGAACTGATGGTAAAAGTGGGGAGCTTTGCCTCCCAGGCGCTGACGGATGATTACCTCAGGCTTGGTTGGCAGTGGCTGCCTTCGCTGGATGAAATCAGCGGGACCCCACAACTTGAACTCCCTTCTTTTCATTACCCACCATCTGGCCAGTGGCTCGACATCACAATTGATCAGCATTTAAAGCCAGAGCTAGAACTACGCATCCTCGCATCGCACACGAAGATTATCCCTCGATAATTCTTATCCCCTTCATCGACTCAAAGTTCAGCCTGACATAATGCTCAAGCCCTACCCGGTCGACGGCAAATGTCCAAAGGCTAGCTGCAAGGTAGGTACCATGTACACTTGTGCTCTGGCTGCCGGTGATGCCCTTGTTCTCTTTCCATTTCTTTGTTGGTCGAACGGAGGTTTGGGCCTGTACCACCAAGTTCTCGAACAGCCGGGTTGAACGACAGGCCATTGTCCCTGTACACGATTGTTCGTGCCTGCCCTTGTCTCTTATGAGTTCTATTTATCATGGCATCGACCGGCAACATGCCTTGATTTCCCGCTCGGTTGAGCATTTCTCACCATTTCCATTCATAATATATATATCAACCTGCTTTCTTGCTTAGAAAGCGGGCTAGCCAAAACACCAAAAGATTGCTTCATGTCCCCACACCCGACTTCCACCACCTCCATTCAAAATGTGCTACATACCCTACAACGTTTATACGGTATGCGCCCACAATAGGATTGGAGAGGTCGTCCAGTGTGCTCGGCAAAAGGGCAGAAATGCGCAATTGGAAAAGGGTAATTGGTGTACCAACCTGCAGCTGACCATCCGGGCCTGCCGTCCGGTCGAGTTGGCGAAGCTCAAGTACTGGTTTTGCCCGGAATGCCGCAAACACTACAATGGATATAACATCCACGGTGTAGAAGGTATCTTGAACTACTGGGCCTACAAGGCCATGTGTGGTTTTTCCTACTGCGTTACTCCCGGGACAGTTCCTGGCCATGTGGTCTTCGGCGGAACCCTGCCTGCCCTTCTCGGGACCTCGAGAATCCGATGTGAGCTTCTCGCCTTGGATAAGGCTTGGCCTCACACCGTGCTCGAGACGAAGGCTCAGTGGCTGCGGAGGCTTGAAAGGGCTCGGACAGTGACGCTGGAACTGGCTAGGACTTGGTCCAGTAGGCGCGGCCGCATACAGAGCAACGACGAGATTCGTGTGCAACCGGGGCTGGCATCGCCCATGTCTACGTACCCGTTCCCCTATGTCCGTGATCATGTGCTCAGCCCGATCACAGAAGCAAGCGACTCCGTAGGGTCTACCACAAAACCGCCCTTGCGGGTGAAAACCATATCTCGGGAGACGCCACAGGTCCACCTTCGCACGCTTGCAAAGCTGTGCGGGGAAGCTCCCTCGGGGAAGCCGTCTTCTTGGTTGGGTGAAATACAGGGTGCGGGATCATCTACTACAACCCTGGTCGAGAACCCTTTGGATCCCTGGGCTTCAACTCGGCGCGAGACGGCGGATGAAAAATTTCACCAGGCTTCGGTAGGGTTCACACAGCCGCCGAGTCGTCAATTGACTGAGCAGTTTAACCAGCCCCAGCGCAATATCCAGCCTAACTCCACAGGGCCCGATACTTCTGGGCTGGAACCCTTGAGCCACGGATCTGGGAAGGTATCGGAGAGTATGAGGAATGACAACGTGCCTAGAACTGATTTCGCCTACTGGGGCCATGAGGTGTGGGAGGAGGACCCAACCAACACCAGTTCGGTTGAACCAGCCCAAGGATCTTTGGGAAAAGAATCGGAACGTCTTCAGGCTGATGATCTAACTAACAGTTCCTCAGCTGAGCCAATCCAAAAATCACCTCGTAGGGACCCTGGCGATGGCATCCTCAACTATAAAGCGTTTGCCGAAGTCACCCTCGGCGAGGTCAACGCGAGGGAGGTGACGCGGGAACAGAAGCACGAGCACGAAAAGCCCAACATGACCAGCCGGTTCTCCGTTTCAGTTTGTGACGAGGACGAGGCAGCCGAGCGAGCCACCATCGCTTCTATTAGTCCGGCTTCTGAGGACGAGGCCTTCAGCTTTGAAGATCCCGAGACCGCCATCCCGGTGCCTGAGACAAAAGAAGTGCAGGGGGGCCAGTTACCGGAACCGTGTGAGTCTGATGGCTCGGCCAGCATTATTATTCGATATCCAGCATCCGGGGCTGTCTCTCCTAAACCAACCTCCCTTTCCCCGCCTCGGTTCGTGAGCGAGAACGGTACTTCCCGATCTGGGAGCCCGAATTCAGACCAATTTTGGGATGAGTTTGGAAACCGGCCGTCTCGTGATGCCAGATTATTGTCTAGTGTGATGGCCCGGGGCGTTTTGCCACAGAATAGGTTGAGCACTGCCAGTATCGGGGCCACCAGCATCGGGGTAATGTAGGTGTCTCATACCTTTATTCTTTACTGTTTATTTCTTATTTCCTATTTTTGAAGATACCATCACTCACACGGAAAATAACGAGAAAGAGACGTGGGTTAGCCTGTCGACGGCATGGTATTCTTTCCTCTGGAGACTCATTCTCAGTGGCTGCTTCATATAAACTCGAATATTCGAATACTCTGTAACCTGACATGACCCAAGTAAATTGAGAATATGTGATTCATTACGTACGATACCTTCCGCCACCCGTCACTGTTTCCCTTCGCCTGTTAAAAGAACAGCGTCCTCCCCGCATCCGGTTATCCAACCACAATGCTAATGGTTACAGTCATGTCGGGCTAGTTGGGGACAACATACTTTGAGCCAGGAGTGGTCTCGTCGCTGAAATTGGCAACAAGCACGACTGATCGCCTGCCATGATCTTGGCTCCACGTCTCTCATCAACATGGAAGAAGTCGGTGTCGTCCTCAACCAGGGCAGGGCATTTTGTCCGGAACTTGACGAGGTTTGCCGCGGCGTATATGCAAACAAGATGTCATGCAGAAGGATCAAGAAGCCTTTCGTTCGCGGTGATGACGATGATAAGCTGCGCGTTTTGACGGTGGATGTTGAGGTCAGAAAGCAAGAGGTGTGGGATCTGGAGCATTGGGATAAATAGGTACCTAGGCAGTGATGTGAGCCCTATCTGTATAACGAGGAAGCTGCTTGGTGCTCGAGTTATGGGCTATGGCGATGGGGAGGGGGGTGGAGATGTTGGGACGCTGTAGCGGAATATCCTACCACTAGGCGGGTAGAATGAAGTCCTCAGGACAGCCATCTGACAAACCGTAATGCAACTTGATGGGATGCGATCACCACCAAGCATGAGCGCACAAGTCACGGTGCTGTCCAGAAGAAAGTCTGCCCAGTTTGGGTTGGTGCAAAAACATTATTCTGGGTCAAACACCGAGTTGTAAGACTGCGACGGCTGCGCTAGACTGTTTCCACAGCAGATGTGAACCAAAGGGTTAGGGTCGTTAACTCAGGTCCCTCAGGAGTGACATTCCGCGGTGTGACTCTTATCGGCCAGCTCCTAAGCCGATAAAAATGCCCCGCCATCAACAGAGCTCGCCTCCAAGTTAAGCGACTCTTCGTTCAGGGACACATCCATAATTCATTCCCGGGTCACGCCGAGTCTCCATGGACAAGGCACAGGATGGACTGCTACGGCGGCCCCTTTATCTCTTTGATCTACCCCCAGAAATCCTCAATTCACTTACCCCCAAACCAGACGCGGGGTTAACTGTCGCAGATGCGCCAACTGCTTCCGCTTCCTCAGGGGAGCTAACCCCGAGTCCCGCCAGCGCCGAAAACATCCTCGGATCACAGACCTGCTCCTTGTGCGGCATGTCGTTTGTCACGGTCGAAGAACAAAAGGAACATCTTAAGACCGACCTCCATTATTACAACCTCAAACAAAAGTTGAACGGCCTCAAACCCGTTTCCGAAGCCGAGTTTGAGAAACTTGTCGAGGAGAACGATGTGAGCATCTCGGGGTCGGACACATCCGATAATGAGGACGAGGAGGACGAGCCGTCGCGCAGGGAGACGACCCTTTCGGCCCTGCTGAAGAAACAAGCATCGCTGGCGGATAAGCGTAACCCGGATGACGAGGGTACAGAGGCTGAGCCAAAGAAGAAGAGGGGGGGTGGGAAACCGCCATTGCTGTGGTTTGAGTCGCCGCAGCTACCAGACCGTACTTATTTTGGGATATACCGGAGCTTGTTCACTGCAAAGGAGTTAGACAAGGAAGATGCGATTATCGAAGCCATCAAACAACGACAGTTGCCGCCGATATCCATGCCCAAGGCCGCCAAGGATGGGAATACCATCCCCCCTGCTTACAATGGCAGGCACATATTTCTCTGCATGATGGGAGGTGGTCACTTCGCCGGCATGGTGGTGTGCTTAGCTCCAAGGAAAACAAAGCACGGCTCAGTTGGGCCGCTCAACAGGGAGGCTGTCGTTTTGGCACACAAGACCTTCCACAGGTACACGACTCGACGGAAACAGGGTGGCTCACAGTCCGCCAACGACAATTCTAAGGGAGCTGCTCACTCGGCCGGTGCCTCGATACGCCGGTACAATGAACAAGCCCTCGTCGACGACATTCGCGAGCTTCTCAAGGACTGGAAAGCCTTGATCGACACATCCGACCTGCTTTTCATCCGAGCGACCGGTGCGACAAACCGACGGACGCTATTTGGGCCGTACGACGACCAAGTCATGCGCTCCAACGACCCCCGCATCAGGGGTTTCCCCTTTACCACGCGGCGAGCAACGCAAAACGAGCTCATGCGTGCCTTTATCGAACTCACCCGTCTCAAGGTCAAGGAGATCCAGCCCGAAGAGGCCTCTGCCCCAACAGAGACAACCAAAGCCCCCAAACCAAAAGCCGACTCCAAACCAGCCCCCCCAAAACTCACCGAAGAAGAAGAAGCCGCCATCTTCCACACCAACCAAATCCAAGCCATGATCCGGCGCTCCAAACTCCCCGCCCTCCTCACCTACCTCACCACCAACCACCTCCCTGCCACCTTCCGCTTCCAACCCGCGGACACGCAACAAAACCACCACGCGCCCACCGCCCTCCACCTCGCGGCCGCGCAAAACTCGGCCCCGCTCGTCGCCGGCCTCCTCGCCCGCGCCAACGCCGACCCCACCCTCCCCAGCAGCGAGGGCAAGACCGCCTTCGACCTCGCCGGCGACCGCGCTACCCGCGACGCCTTCCGCGTGGCCCGCGCCGAGCTGGGCGAGGCCGCCTGGGACTGGGACGCTGCGCGCGTGCCGCCGGCGCTGGCGCGGGAGGAGGCGGAGAAGAGGGCCAAGAGGGAGAGGGTGGCGGCGGAGAGGGAGGAGGGGTTGAGGAGGGAGAAGGAGGAGGAGAGGTTGAAGGTTGAGGGGCCGAGGGTGGATGGTTCTGGTTCTGGTTCTGGTGGGGGTGGGAGGAGGGGGAAGAAGGGGGGGCATGTGTTGGGTGCGGGACCGCCGAAGACGGCGGAGGAGAGGAGGGCTGAGGAGGCGAGAGGGTTGACGGGGGAGCAGAGGGCCAGGTTGGAGAGGGAGAGGAGAGCGAGGGCTGCTGAGGAGAGGATTAGGAGGTTGCAGGCGGGTGGGTGAGTGAGATGGGGGAGGAGAGTTAGTAGCTAGCTGAATGAACTCTGCTGCTTGTAATTGGCGGGTGTGTTTCCCTGGTAGTGGAAAAGATGTGACTCTTGGGGCGGCGAAAGGGGCATCTCGCACACTCTGGCTTGCGCCTCTGACTTGCGGCAATGGCAACACCAAATTCAACATGTCCCCTGCACCAACTGCTCACCCCCACGTATATCATCGAGATGGCCAAGTCCAGCGGGCAAGGGGTGCAGCCATCCAACTCCTTGTCGCCCTTTCACCCGGCCTGGTACTTACCCTCCAGCCCTCTCTACGAAAGTAGACAAACAAACAGAAACCCGAAAGGAAACAAACAAGAACACCCAACAACCCACCCGGCCGGCGAAACGCGACCCTCCAGCACTTCGTACTACAAACCCTCGTATATGTCTGACCGGCAGGCAGAGGCAGACTGACATGACAGGACAGGCTGAGAAGGGGTCGGTCGGTCCAAGAGAAACAGGCCGGGCGGGCCGTTACGGTGGGTGGGTTCTCGTTTCGTTCCCGGATCCGGGGGGCCCACCGAAGGCCGGCGGCCCCGGCCAGCCCCACTTTGAGGCCCGAAACGGCGGCGGGCGTCAGCACTCAAAAAGGTGGGCCTTAGTTCGTTCCCAGTATGGATGTACAAGTGCAGTGTTGGTGGCGGTTGCTGTGCCGCCTCGCTTCGGGTTCGGGGAGAGAGATACATATTGAAAAAGGTGTGCTGTTAGTGGGCGAGTTGGATGTTTCGTGGCCGCGAACCTACATACGATCCGTGGTGGAATAAGTATCGGACGGTTTGCGTTGTCGCACAAGATCGTGTGTTGGCCCGGAATAGACACAAGACTGTTTGACGGCGGCCTGGGTGTTGCCTTGCGGGATGTCGGCGGGTAGTGAATAGAGTTGGGCAAGATCTGCAGATCTGATGTTTCCGAGGCCGCGTGTGCCTCTCCAGGGTCGGCCCCGAGGCGTTGAACTTCTTTTTACATCCACGTAACTACATAGCAGCTACGCGGATGTGCCGGGCTGTTGCAGACGGATCGCCTCCCCTGAATTCATTTCAAAGTGTTCATACGAAGTACGTACATGGCTGCTTATGTGGTGTTTGTGGCGCCCACTTCAATCACCTTCGCCGCGCCGTGCCGCTCTCAGGGAATGCTTTCCCGGGCCATCCTCAGGCTACAAATCGAAGGGGTCCACGTCCGGGTTGGGGTCTCTCGGACTGTTTCCCTCCGACGCATCCAGAGAAGGGCTTGTTACGACGAGTTTGTTTGTGTTGGGGCATGCCGCTCGGACTGGATCAACTCAGCCTCGCCTGTTGGACACTCCGCGTGTTGTGGCCTGCGGTGGTCCCAACTGCCGGCGATGCCCAGAGTGTCTGGGTCGGATTCGGGTTCTCGTTTTGGCCTGCTCCCGATGGTAGAGGAGATTTGGTGCCACCGAGGAACAAACGGCTCTGACGGGCGAGTCCCAAAAAAGAGGCATGATCTCCCCGAACGCAACCAAGTGACCATGTCCCCTGGTTGCCCGGCCTCTCTCGGTCAGTTCTGGGGTTGGACGGGCTCCTCAACAAGACCGCATTGCCGGGACTCGGAGATAACCTCGTGCTCCAAGGCTGGCATAGCCACAATGATGGCGGATGGGAAAAAGGAGAAGCTGATGTGGTGGAGACGGGAACTCGGGGCAAGATGGGGCCAGTTTGTCTCATCATCACGACACGAGCTGGCTGAATCCAACTAACAGCAGACCGAAACCAAGTGTGAGGAGTGTGAGGAAGTTCTTCACCGTTGGGGTTGCATCACTTGTCCAACAAGGAAACGTGCTTCCCCTGAGTTTGGCTGTTCTGGGCGTTGCATTGCTGCCAAGCGAGGTGGTCTGTGAGGTAGCTTTCCGGTGCCCGGGTGTCCCCAGCGTAGACTGGTGCACAAACTATCGGTACGCTACCTGGCGACTTTGTGCACGAGTCTCGACAACGGGGGGAGAAAATGGGTCCATCGGGGAATTAACGGCCAATCTGTGCCGAGAACCGTTATTGCTATTTTGTCGCTTGCGAAAGCGCTGATATTTGAGACCTGCTGGTGATGAGAGATACTTAGTGCAGCACTAGTTACGAAATACATATCTTTGTTGACGATCGCGGCTGATGTTGAAAATGGAGAACTACGCGCCAGAGATGGCGGTTGTGGTCAAAGAAGGCTGAAAAGATGCTCCGCTGATCGATGCGGGTTTCCGATCTGACAGGCAGCGATTCGCCCGCTTCTTGGGCGGCAGTCCCATCCCGTCCGAATTCTCCGGTGAGCAGCAGATGGAACCTGGGATTGGAACTAAAATTGGCACCATGTGGGCCCCCTTTGTCTCCTCTGAACATGAGAGGGAACTCTCACTGAGACATGCACAGAATTTGCCATCAATTAAGCGCTGTCAGTCAATTTACTGCGCTTATACTGAGTACTGCGATAGACAGCTTGGATAATGGCATCAATCGTTCTATTGTCTTGGTAGTAAGATCGCGGGGTTATACGATCTGTTCGTAACTGAGAGTTTTTATTTAAACCAAGGCAGTTGTACCAACCAAAGCAATCCTGAGAAAGCAGTTGACTGACTCTAGGTTTGCAAAGAAGCAATCCACTTGCTGAATCAAGCATCCAGTCAATTGCCGGAGGAGGGCCGTCACGATCATGGCAAAAATGGCCCGAGGTGGGGTGGAGACCATCTGGAACACAACGCCAAGACGCTCGCGCTTTCGGCGCCCACGTACCTGAAACATGAAACCCTCTGGCGCCCAGGCTAACAAAGACTGACTTTGAAACACGGCACTCGATCGAGTGGGCTGCCGATGGCCACACAAACCTGGAACCCGGGAACGGACGACTTGTCAGAACCACTGGGAAACCGGAGGGTTTTCAGCTGGCATCTCTCGGAAAACAAAACAGTCACACGCATATGGCCGCTTCCCAAGCGTAGAGCGGCAAGCCCTAAACAGCAAGCACCAAAGCACCGAAGCACCAAAGCACCAGCTAACTCCAGATTAACCAGATATCTAACTAGTTACACACCAACGAAATATCAAGAATTCGACATCGCTTGATTCGAGCGACAAGGGCAGTTTCCTGGATCCAGAAGGTCGGCCCGCGGTTACTGATCTTTTGGGAAACGCTTCCATCGCTAGCTCTGTGGGGAACCCTCACGCAATGGTTGCAAGGGTATCAACGGTGCAAGCAAAAGGCCCAAGCAATTCTTGGCACGACTTTTGTGTCCATCGCCAACCACGCGAGACCCAGGAACAATCGTTCCGGTTAACATTCCCGGTAACAGTTGCGCTCGGAGGACAAAGCTCAGGCGGACGCTCCTGTACCTGCAGTAGCGTCGTCGGCGTGGCTGAGCAAAGCCACCACTCGTTTCATGGAACAGCACCTTTCGATCGCCTCAGGGGTCGAGAGTCTGGATCGTTTACAGTACGAAGTATGTGCATACAGATTACTCTGGATAATGTGATGTGTTTGTTTGCTCCGACTCGGTAGACATAGGGAGATTAACGCCATTTTACAGATGCGCGTCCCAATCAACGGCCGGATTACGTAGGGCCTGATATCAACCTTATTTGACTCCTTCACCAGTCAGCGCGCCCTCCCCTGAAAAGAGCAACGTGAGGGAGGCAGCTCTCGTCGGTTTTGGCATCGAATGTGTAACCGATTGGCCGTGCGTGTTGGGTCGGGCTCGAACCGCCCCCTGGGCCAGATCTCGTGCAGACCCCTGTTTGGCACCCCCCTGTTTACCCACCCCTGCCGGCCAACCATGCGAGCCCAGGTTGCTGCCGCTGGCCAGAGCCGCGCGCCACCCCAGCAGTTCAGCACCCTTGGATACAACGTCGACGGAGCAGTGGGACCTCGTTGAATCTCTGCCCGTCCAGGTGGTATTGCCGCGAGTGAGTTGTGCAACCACGCCCATCCGCAGAAAGGGATCTCGACAACCACTCCCCCAGTGTCCCCTGCCGAAACCTGCGAGACATGCTACTCTGCAATGTCGAGCTTTGCCATTCCGGGGAGGACCGTCGATTACCGCCGTCTCTCATTGGTTCCTGGCCCCTTTCAAGTGAGAGAGGAAGAGAGCCGTGCCTGGGGGAAGCCAAAGTCAAGTTAGTCAACTTCGACATATTCTGGTCTCCCTGAACCCTCCCTGGCCACCACGGACACCCCTGGTCACCAATTGTGGCCCTGTTCTTTGTTCCGCTCTCACCCTGTGGAGTGGCCTGCAAGGGTTGAGTGACTTCCAGCTTCTCGTTGCTGCCGTCTCCGTGTATATAGCAGTGACTGCCAACCCATCTCTCGCTCTTGTTTCCGATTCTATCACCAAGTTCGGTGTCCTCCTTTCTTCTAGTCTCACTTCGACCAACAGAGGCAAAGCCATTCGCTTCTTTGCCTTTTCTTCTTTTTTGACACTTCATTGTTCCAACTCCCAACCGAGTTCTTATTATTTGAAGGCGCCAGTTCCGCCGGTTTCCCTCTCACACCGACCAAGTCTATCGTTTCCTGTCAGCATCCATTCAGAGCAGCGGCAACAGTTTCAATATGAAGACTTTCGTTCCTGTTTTGGCCCTCGCCGCTGGCGTGTCGGCTACTGTAAGTTACATCTTCCTCTTCAGCTCCATGTCCCGATCAACATGACTTACACCCTATTCCGCAGTTCCACAAAGCCCCTCCCTTTTCGTTCCCGGGCAACACCGACAACAAGTGTACCGACAAGCAGAAGCCCGGCTTCAGCTGGGATGACCTCGATTTCGGTGATTTCTTCGACTACAGGGACTTCACTTCCGTGGCTGGAAGTGTGAGGATGACGGCGACAAGAGGAGCAAGTTTGCTCCTCGCACCTTCGGGAAGGCCATCACTGGTACTTGCTCTTCGGACAAGAAGAAGTCGCCGTCTTTCGGCTGTGGCGCCTCGGTCGACAAGTTCTCGCTCGGCTCCATCCACGTCAAGCCCGAGTTCGACTGCGATCTCGAGTTCCACTATGACATGCCCGATGGATCGACCTGCAAGCACCGCAGCCCCTGTCGCAAGTCTGGTACTACCGTCGTGAACCGCCAGTGCGGCGGTGCCAAGAACGTCACCATCATCTACCCCCCGCAGCCTCACCTGCCGAAGCCCAGCTGCACCATCAAGGTGCCCACCATCTCCTTCGACTGCGACACCGCTTCTAGCACCAAGCCCCCCAAGACCAAGACGACCAAGATCCCTCCCGCCACTACCGCTCCGCCCGCCGAAGCCTCCACCACCCCGCCTGCTGGCACCCCGCCTGTCGAGTCCAACACCCCTCCCGCAGAGACCACCACCCCCCCGGTTGAGGCCACCACTCCCCCTGCTGAGAACACTCCTCCCTCGGAGACCAACACTCCTCCCGCCGAGTCCAACACCTCGCCTGCTGAGAACACTCCTCCTGCCGAGACCAACACTCCTCCTGCCGAGACCAACACGCCTCCTGCCGAGACCAACACGCCTCCTGCCGAGACCAACTCCGCCCCCGAGGGCAGCGAGACCAGCAGTGTTTCGCCTGGCCAGGAGACCAGCGACGTCGTCGTTCCTCCTCCCGTGACCAAGACCATCACGACCAGCTACGACAGCACGTCGACCGTCTTCACAACCAGCACCCAGACCATCACCTCGTGCGCGCCTACCGTCCCCGACTGCCCGGCTAACTCGGTTGTCACCACCGTCGTCACCGTCGCTGTCTCGACCACCATCTGCCCTGTCACCGAGACTTTGACCACCATTGAGGGCCCTACCTCCAGCCCCCAGCCCAGCGACGGCCCCAGCGACGGCCCTAGCGATGGTCCTAGCGATGGCCCCAGTGACGGTCCCAGCGATGGGCCTGGCGCCACTTCTGCTCCTGAGGCTGCCACCACCTCCGCCCCTGTCGTCGGTGGTACCACCGGCGTCGTCAGCTCGGTCTCGCCCGTTGAGACCCTCCCTTGCCCGGGCGTCGTCCCGTCGTGCCTGAACACCTTCCTGTTCAACACCGGCTGCTCTGACAACACCGACACCGCCTGCTACTGCCCGGATGCTACCTTCGTCAAGAACGTCTACGACTGCCTGTACGCCCACGGCGAGACCGACTCGATCATCGCCGAGGCTGTCGCCTACTTCCAGGGTATCTGCGGCAAGTGGGTCAACGAGAACCCTGCCATCGCCACCGACGCCACCGTCACCACCTACATCACCGTGACTGCCCAGCCCACCGTCGCGCCCGTCTACACCACCGTCATCGTTGACGTGACCACCGTCGTGCCCTGCACCGACGACGCTGGCGAGATCATCCCGAGCTCCAGCACCACCGTTACCGTCAGCACCAGCATGACCGTGCCCCAGATTGACTTCACCACCGGCTCGTCCGGCGGCGTCGAGGTGGTCCCCATCACCGCCGTCCCGGCTGTCACCGCCCCGCCCACCCCGTCTGTCGACGGCCCCGGCGTCGTCATCACCGCCAACGGCACCGCCATCACCGTGCCCACCGGCACCGGCGCGCTCGTCCCCAGCAGCACCAGCACCCACTCCGTCGTCGTCGGCGCCGGTGGCCGCGTCGGTGCTAGCTTCGGCCTCGCTGCCGCCGTGGCCTTTGCCGCTGCCCTTGTCCTTTAAAAGGATCTTGGATGTGATATCCGCCCTTAGCATCACTAGGCAAACATAACCAATCTAATTCTCACGCTCCTTACGAAAGCAATACGACATACCATTGTATCAAACTCTCATCAGCATTTTCACCCTCAGCGGTCACACAGCCTTGGGGACGGCTCTTGTGTTTTTCCTTCATCCCGTCATCGAATCGTCAACACCACACACAACACACAAACAGCTGTGTTTTTCCATTACGTCAGCGCGTCTTTTTTGTAATTTGAGAGAAAAAGCAGAGGTGGCATGAGTGGGGGCAGTCGGGTATAGACATGCTAGGGGGTGAGCAGAGGGGACGAAAACCTGCGTGGTTTGTACATTAATGGACTGGATACAGCTGGCTGGCAGACTGTACATAATAGTTAATACCCCGAGCCGGACCCAATGGCTAGACTGTTTTGATCGTTTCATCTTCGGTTTCCATGTGTGATTGTGAAGGTGCCCCTAGAAACTTCCCTCGCACGACTTAGCTTTGGATACGTAGATGCCTTGGCCGAGAATGAAGGATGGCTAGAAAATGCCTCCTGTGTGAGCAACCCCCCGCTGGAGTCGGGGGTTGGTTGCTAGTTCGCAACAATAAGTCTGTTGAGCTCATCGACCTGGTCATAGAATAAGACAGCACTCATCTGTAGTCACATGTAGATCGAAGTCTAATTAGAAATCTATTTAACTAGTCTATTCGTAAAGTGTTTTTTTTTTTTCTTTTCTTCTTCTTTGCTTCTTTTTTCTTCCTTTTTTCTAGTGGTTATCTGAGCTTTGCTGCCAGACCGCCCGTCCTTCGCGAATATCATACCGCCAAAGCCTCAGATATGAAGTCGTGAAATCGAAAGAGATATTTTACGCGCAGTAGACCAAGACCATATGAGTTAGCATCGAGCAGTAACCCGGCCCGAAGACTAAGCCTCGCGCCAAAGGGAGATGGCCAGGCGTCCTACCCCTGAACTTACCGATTCTCGTCACTAGCCGTGCCGTCAATTCATCATCACGATCATCAACACCCCGACAAGGACACCACTCGGGCGGGCACCCGCTAGGCCCATTTACACAGATACTCAGCCGTCACGCATCGAAATCCCATGAGCACTAGAACCATGGACATAAGAACGCCTGCTAGCATCCACGTCAGCATCCACGCCCATGGTTCCCAGCCCATATAAAGACTTGCGCCCGCAAAGCTCGTCAACGCGACCACCGCAGACAGCCACAACAGGCCCTTGGCTCAGCGTCGCCCACGTGTATATAGACCCCATCGGCCAGGCGCAGCGCTCGTCAATGCAATGCACCGCCACCACCAAGCCCAACATCACCCACCCTAGGGCGGCCAAACTGACCGACCGACACCAGAGCGCACCATCAACAGCCAAGCGTAATGCAACTTCCACCCACAACAAATACTTTTAAACCTCATCACATCCACCACGCCCGGTCATACGATCATACCTAAACGCCATCCGCCCCCACCTCCGGCATCAGCAAACCTCATCCTCACAGCGCCGATGCCCGTCCGTCAACCCCCTCTTCACCACTCCAACACCGGGGACACGGGCACGGGGCATCCAACAACCCCCCTCCCCTCAAACCCCTCCAACCTCTCCCGCCACGGCGCCGCCAGCTCCACGCCCACCGCACCACTGCCGGTGTGTTGTTGTTCCCAAGGCATCGGCACCCCCCCACAAAACCTAACCCACCTCTCCACCACCCTCCTCCCCACCCCCGCCTCCACCGCAAAGAACTCGCGGTGTCGACACCCACAGTCGGGACAACGGAAGACGTACCGTGCCGCGGCTAGTTCGGCGTGGGCGAGTTTCTCGGCGAGGTGAAGGGGGATGGTGGAGAGGGGGTGGGAGGAACGTGAGGTGGTGGTGGTGGTGGTGGTGGTGGTAGACGGGGGTGGTGTTAAGGGGAGGATTTCGAGGTGTAGGTTGGGGCAGGAGCGTTGCATGGCGGCGAGGCGGGTGGGGATGGGTTGGGTGGTGCGGCCAATTTTGATGAGGGGGGTGGAGGAGTTGTTGGTGTTGTTGTTGTTGTTGTGGGTGGCGGTGAGGATGTAGATGAAGCCGGACTTGGCGGGGGTTGTTGTTGTTGGTGTGATTAGGCCAGCGGCGTTCTGTAGGAGGTTGGCGATTTTGCGGTTGGTGTGTTTGGGGGACTCTGCGGTTAATGGGGGGGTGTAGTTGGTTGAGAAGGGGGGTCCAGGTGCGTTGTCTACGGTTGTTGGATGTTCGTTAACCGGGATGGGTGATGCATGTAGGTCCGGGGGATCGGGCGTAGAAGCGCCACTAGGCCATAAGCCTCGTCGTTGGATACAATGGCAGACAAAATTCCATAAGCTAGGTAGCATAGCAATAAGGTTTATTGCCATGGGAGGCTCCGAAGGGTCTGGGACAACGGGTGGCGCCATGTAACGTACTTAAATGGAATGTATAACCCTATATAATATATGCGTGACGTTGATGAGTGAGGACGTGGTATCGCCTCAGGGTTATACGCTCGGACGAGGTCCAGAGTGACAATAGAAGAAAGCAGGACGAATACGCACCTACAGCCCATAGGTAGTTATAGAAGAAGCTAACCCTCCTCATACGAGTCGCACCCAGTCCTCTGAGTCTGAATGCAGGCCGAACCAACAGGTCTTGGCGGGCGCTTCGGTGGTGGTGTGCCTCGCTTACCAGCTAAGCAGCCTTACCTGAGGCTGGAGGCAGCAACTGCCACGAATGCTACACACCCTTTGAGGAAAGTGGGCATAGCCGATGTCTCCTGTGTAGAGATAGGCTTAGTGAGGAGTCCTGACCCGTCGGATTGATGAGGATATGAGTGAAGCGGAAGCCACAGACCACTCACTGTATTGTGACGTTGGGGTCATAACTGCCTTTGTCAAAATCATCAGGCCACAGGATGAGATTGCTGTTGGGAGGGTGGCGGTTTTGAGATCGGTCGCGTTGGTGTTGTGCAGGGTAGTGCTGATGAAGAGCACCTACCTCAGCTGAGGATTTGGTGCGCGCAGTAAATGATGGCCGGGTACGTGCCTGGAGGTTTGTACCGGGAGGGCTTCATCGCATGATTATCTCTCGCCTCTTCAGCCCCGTCAACGATAGCCCTGGTCTGCTGAGCTTCCACGAATCTTTTTTAACCCCACAATGACCATCTCCAAGTGACTGGGGACGGAAATCACCCGTGTATGGATTACACTCGCTGCTCGCTCCTGAGCGTGGCTCGCGGCACGAGGGCTCAACTCCACCTCCATTTGCCGCATTCGTCCAGGGATGGCTGCTATAAAACACCCTAGAATCCCCGACGGAGAGTTGAGACTCGGGGACCCACCCTCTGGTCAATGCTCCTCGCTGTTCGGCATCAATCCTGACGTATGTGTAGGAGAAAGTCGAGAAAAGGTTAAAAATCTGCTTTCTTCATTGTTTCTTACGTACAAGCAATATCCTCGTCGACAACGCCCAGCTGCACTTGGCCACATGACGTCTCTTTTCGGGGATGTTTTGCATACGACAACAGGCCGAGCGGCATCTGGTGAGTTATATGTCGACCATGAGCGTGCGAGGACCTCCTCGGCATCGCATTCCGAGTTGGGAGTACGAACCTAGTCGTCCATGACAACATCAGGATCGTTTCGACCAAGATTCACGGTGTTGCTCTGTTGACATTACGACGTCAAAAATCGCGCGTGACAGCCGGCGGGAAATATCGGGCAGATTCCCAAGTCGGATCGGAATGGCACCCATTCTCATCACCTCCATCGACCGGCCATGTGAGACGATCCCGGTTTGGACCAGTCGACCCCCACTCGGCCTTTCCCTGTTTGAGAACGGGTGGTGTCCCGAGAGATCTTCTAGAAGCGAGAGGGACATGCCAAGCCCCTGCAGCTCGACTATGGGGAGCCCCGAGGTTCGTGAATGTTGTAACTATGTACAGAGATGCGAAGCCGAACGGGGAACGACCGAAGCGAGCCTTCGGTGAACCGGCGATGCTGACTGAAGCCGGTATAACTCTTCATTCTGGCATGTTAGACGAGTTTATTAACCCAGGGTGCTGCTGAGTAGTCGCCCTGGTTTATGGGTGGCTTCTGTGGTGATGCGCGTATGCAAGCAGCGGCCCATGGTTAGTTACCTATTGGCAACACGGAAAGTTCCATACTTCGTAGCTCGTCCTGATTGAGACCGACACAGCCAGTTCCCAGCTGTTAGGTGTTTTCACCAACACAGCTCGGTTCGAAGGCCGCGGCCGGCGGTGAGGGACTGAATTCGAGCATGGGCACGATCCGCTACGGCGGGCCAGTCCAGTCATTTGATGATCTGGGTACCTGCTGACGGGGCGAGAGAACAAGGCAACACCTATACAAGAGCGAGATTCGAATCCGAAACATCTCCGTTCATGTCTCGTGCCTCGATGAATTGAAGCTGCGGGAGGGGATGATGCAATTAAAGTGAGGCTCGGCGATGCGACTTGGGCCAAACTCGGAGGAAGATGGCGTTGCGGGATGCTGGGGTTTCGGGCGGAAATGCAAAAAACTGCCCACTAATGCCAGTGTGTGTAATAGATTCCTTTTCCGGAAAGTACATACACTACGCGACCCAAACCCCGGGCCACGCCTTCTTCTGGTGATAGTTTTTCTTGGTGGTTCCTGCCATGTCGCCCAGGGAATAGAATGGCGTATCCCCCGTATTTGGCTAGCGCTCACACGAGAGGCAATTTGCAACGTGGACGCACGGGTCCCATTGGCATTGAGTTTGTGGGGCAGGTCTTCGATCTCCCGTCATGACTTGCAACTCTTTTTTCTCACCAACCCTGCCTGTTTTGAAATCAATCGGGGTTCGGTAACGGCCAGCCACAGAACCCGACGAAATCCCGATTCTTCTCTCTTCCGCGGAGCTTGCCATCATCAACATGAAGTTCCCAGAAGCGAAGCTTAACTGCTTTGTACTCGTTAGGATAAAACGCGCGCGGGGGATCATACCACTACACAATTCGCATCGTCATCAACAAGGGCGCGCGCTGCATGGTCACTCTGTCGGATCGGAATCCCTCCTAATTGGGCAAACGGCGACTTAGCACGCCTTGATTCGCTCTCGCTTTTGAATTGCGGGCAGCGGAATCAGAATGGGGAGTTCTTCGGCGAACTGGGGTCTCTGCGCGCTGTCTGGACAAAGCAACGCCGGAGCGAACACAAGCTTACTCAGGCCGTCGGTCGGCATTTGGCGATTTTGGAAGGCCGATGTACTGTCATGTACCCCGCCGTACCGTTTCCTCCATCGATCCTTGCACCCACCAAACCTGTCATCTGCGAGTTCGTTATTCCATCCGGCGACAATTGCACGGCTCGGACGATTGAGTGCGCCGGGCCGATGTCTCCGCGCTGCTCTCAAGTCCCGTCGTTGAGGCATCGTGCAACACAATCCGGGCCATGGTTGTGGTTTCCGAAGAGCATGCAGGCCGCGGCAGACAAACGTTGACTGACTCTCTTCTTTTTCCTCGATTCGCCCCGTTTCCTTGTCTCGCCCCATCGATTCCAGTTTCGTGGCGCCATGGCAGATCGGAGCGAAATGAGCGGATCCAAAGGTCCAACGCCGAGCAAGGATCGACCCCCCGTAGTTCGCCCAGATGGCGACTTGAGCAAGTCATAGCCTGATCATCAGGACGTCAGTCCACCGGGATGGGCTCCGCAACAATGGGATTCGAGAAAAATCCCTTGCCCGGGAGTTTATACAAGCCGCGACTTAACTCCACTGCTTTTGTACTTTCACGGCGGCGTGGAAGCCTTCCGCTAAAGTCCCAGGGCGCGCTCTCGGACATAACCAACAAGCCGACCGTTGATACCACCACACACAACCGCACGGCGCAAATGGCCCAACCCCGAGCCATTAATTCTATGACGGTGCATTAGGACTGCCGAGGACAAGCAGGGCCAGCAGGCACAAGACACGCTGCATATGTACTCTCTCGCCTAATCGTCTCCTCTTCCTGCACCCACTTCCTTCTCAAACCCATAAACGTTACCCCTGGTCGTTTTGTCGACACCTCTCCTTGGCCGCCCCAGTATTATTAATCGCCCAGACAAGACCCCCCCCCCTTCCCGGTTGATTATGCTCTCTCACTCTTGTTCAAGGTGAAAACGGAGTATCCTCGAAGAACCCTGTCCCGTCTTGTCTTACTTATACATATGCGCCCTGGGCCCCTCCATGCGCGAGCTTGTTCTCACTTACACCTGGAGCTTCCACCTTCCCACCCCTCCCCCCTTTTCTTGCACCATCACGGTGAAGAGAGACTGAGACGCTCTACTTCACATATACCTACTCCTATCTATCTTGTCCTCTTCCACAATGGACAGCTTACCTACACCACCCAACGAGGAGCACGCCAGACCCCAAGGGCTGAAGCGGTCTCATGCGGCGTCCAAGCCTCTTAAGACGGTACACCGGACCCTGAAGCGGACCAGCACCCATAGCCATCCTCCCTCGCCAGCCCGCGAAAGCCACTCACAGCATGGTGATGGAAGGCATAAAAGAGTCTGGAAAGCTTGCGAGAGGTGTCGCATGAAGAAGACGAAGGTAGACATTCTTATTCTTAATACCCTTTACCAGCGAGCTCGCTTACTGACACGGGACATAGTGTGATGGGGAGTTCCCCTGCAAGAGGTGTAAGGACGATGGGTTGATATGCACCGCCGGGACTCGAAAGAAGACCGAGTACAAGCAGCTACCGCCCGGATACGCCGAGGTGTTGGAAAACACACAATTCGTCCTGATCGCCACAGTCCAGAAGCTCTACTCGATGGTACGGAACGGAGAGCCATGGGAGCTGGGTGAGCCGGAACTGAACGACCGCGGCCAACCCGTAATCCATAACGTTGCCGCTAAGCTCGGCTGCCTGCGACCGAACACCGACCTGGATCTCCCGATCCATTCGATATTTCCCGAGGACGAGGCGGGCATGACTGAATTGGCTCGGCAATTGCAGGATCATGCAGCAGCATCAACAACAACAACAACAGGTACTACATCGCAGGGCAGCGGCAGCAGTAGGCAAGAGACGGAATCGAATGGGATCTACAACCGGACCGACCGAGCCAGCTCATCTGCGGCATCGGACGCCGAACACTCAGACCTCGACCACGAGCCCGACTATCGAAGGGCCGCGTTTGGCGCCGCCAGCGCGGTCAGCATGTCCCCTGCCAGCCTTGGATATCCCGACTTTGAGATCTCCCCGCCGTCGGCAGCGCCATCGGACGGGTTCCCTCCCAGCCAGCACTCACCCACCGTGCCCGTACACCCTCACAACTTTCAATGGATGGGCCGACCGTCGTCAATGGATTTCACGACGCAGCAGCTGTGGATGGCCAGTCAAGGTTTCATGAACACCGAGATGATGACCTCGGGGGTTCTGGGTTCCACTTATGCGACCAAGCCCGCCGGCTTTTCGTCATCATGTCGGAATCCCGAGGTCATGATGGGGATGGGCGATCCCGTGATCTTCTCGTCCGGGTACGAGGAAGACAAACTAGGGCCACTTTTTCCAAATTCGAACATTTAACTAGGGATTCTGTTTTCACGGGAGTTAACGGGCTTAACGGGCTGCTTGAAACGGGTTTCCAAGGATTCCGGGGCGTTATGGAACAGGCGTATGGCAGACGGGAAAGGATCTCAACCGTGGGCATGGCAGCGGCTGGTTTGCCCCCATTTGGGACGGGCTGTACAACTATAGGAATGGCTGTGGTTGGGTGGTGAGCACTTGCGCCTCTACGTGAGACGAAGCAGGAGAAAACGGTGGATCAACTCAGCGTGGACAACACAGACCCAACATGCGCCGCCGAGCAGCAGCTGTTGTTACCTCAACTGTTAATGTCAAATGATAAGAAGGGCCAAGATCGCATCTCTCGCTTTCGGAGTTTTCCATGGCTAAGCCTCGTGCGCCCACGCGTCAAATCCAATCTGATCTGATATGCTCCCAACAACCACCACTCATCCTAACCCCGGTACCCGCCTGGCGAAACTCAGCCCAACATGATGCGTAACCAGCCCAGCCCAGCCCAGCCAAGACCCCGTGGCAATAAGATTATTATTTCTTTCATGATGATACACAGTCAGAGCCCCACCGGAAACGGACGGTGGGCTCCTCTCGGGGGGGCCTCGACCCATCGCGCTGTAACCTGCCGAAAAGTGCCCGAACCCACGGGGCCGGGTTGGCTGGTTGGGGTTGCGGGCTCGCTGGTTGGTTGGCTGGTTTCTCTTTGGTGTGAATTTGTGTGAACGGCTCAGCCGTTGTTCCTGACCCGCACGGATACCCCTTGGAGCACGGGCGACCACCCAGTTCCAAAAAGGTAAAAAATCAAAAAAGGTTTGTAATCATGTGTGATCGATAATCCAGGAGTCATAACTGAATAATCAGCATTCCTTAGTTTTCTTTTTGACCCTCTTCTTTGACGGAGATTGGGATTGCGAAGATGACTGCAAGACATGCAGCCAGAGCTGATCCCACATCACACAAACCAGAGAGAGATGAAGGCTTGTTGGACTCCTGGCGCATTTCGAGTTGCATCGGTTTGTGGACAAGCTGCTGCCCTTTCCTTTTTGGGAAGCCAATCGTCAACCAAGAGTTGTCGTCATGCTCTGGCAAAGCCACACCTGTAATTTCGGATCCGATCAATACGCGGGATAGAAAACGCGGGGTTCTCATCCCTCCCGTCCCTTTTGCTGCAGACCTTTGGTCTTGGCTTCTAAGATGTTGCCGTTTGCGGGCTCGATCCGCGAGATCTCTTGAAGACCCAACAATCAACAAGAGAGTCGCGAGACAGGTCCCACCACCGGTTTTATTCGACCTAGTCAAGACATGGGCTGCAATTGTTATTCGAGGGCACATTTGATCTGCCACCAATTGACCCCCCGCGGCACGGTTTTGGGCCGCCCAGGGGGACGGATTCCGTTTCGCGAGGTTGGCAGGACGTTAGAGTTTGCGATCGGGGTCGAGAACGCTCCGCCTCCGCGAACTCACGGGTCGGGTTCATGATTGCATCCGTTACACCCCCATATCAAACTCGCCAAGAAGCTTAAAGTCTTGACCACACGAACAATCATGATGCCACAGCGCCAACCGCTGTCTGGCCTCTCGGAGCTAGCAAGCCAAGCAGCGTATCAAAATGGGGAGTTAGAGTCCAAGCTCATTCGTTACGCCGGTCCCAAATGGATACGCTCCCCCAAACGCTGCTGGGCGCTAACAATGATGAATCACTCTGAGTGCGCCCAGCGATCCTACCCTTGGCAACCCAGCGCCGCATCCCACCGAAACGGTCACGATCCGTCTCGTGAAGCCAATGAGCAGATCAGATTGGACTGCCAATGAGAGATACGCAGGCCGAGCCCCTTGGCCAGGCACGCCAACAGGCCGCAAGACAAATACCAAGCTGCTATAGCTGCTCCCCAGCTTGGGATCCAAGCACCTTGACATGGCCCTGCCCTCCTTCTGCAGTCAGATGGAACCCATCCAAAAGGAGAATACGGAGAACACAATAACCTTAACGTCAGTTCCAGAGAAGCTGGTCGACGGAGCCTTGTCTAACTCCGGCCAGTTAACTCCGCATCAAGATGAATCATCGCCGAGTCCCATTCTTTTGAAGAAATCAGAAACAGGGGCACAAACATGACCCGGGATATCGCCGAAGTCTGATGAACAATCTTTAAACGCTGCCTAACGCCGAATCAGATTAGTAGTCGAGTCTCCTCCAATCTCCACGGCGCAAAAAAAAAAGAGAACCTCTCATGTCGACCGACAAGGTTTTTTGGTCTTGTCAAACCCACCTTGATGCCGTTGAGACTCTTGGCTGGAACCCGACCAAGACAAAAAAAAAAAATCAAAATTGCAAGAGCCTGGTGGAGCCCCGCCCAAGGCCCACGGGGCGGGGATCGGTCCGCGGAGGGCCAAGAAAACGTGTCCGCCGGGCGCCGAGTTACTGCCAAGCTCTTCAGACCTACCGCCAAGCCGGTGAGGGCTCGGCCGCGGCGAGCTCTTCGGGGAAAACGACGACGGGCTGGCGGGCTGCTGGCGGGCTTGGCTCCACTATGAACTTCGTACTCCGTTCCCGTCTGCTCGCCTGTCGTTCACACGAAACCAGAATAAGCGAAAGCGAAAACGCGAACATATTGATGATTCTCGTGCCAGCAAACTACCTCGTCTGCAAAATCGCAGCACGATTCCAAAAGTCGCATTAGGGCATCTCACAGTCTCACTCAGCCACCACCGTGATGAGCTAAGAAATCGCATTGGCGGAAGGAGCATGCCACCGACAACCCCCTGGATAACGACGAACGCGCGAGATAACCGGGCAGTTACTTCCTAATTGGGAAAACGGCAGGATGACGGCACAGAAGCGAACCAGAGCTCGTGGGTCGAGCCGAATCGGTACCTTGAGTGACTTGACCAGCATCCATGGATGGCCAGGGGTGTTGGTTGCGGAGCTTCCCACCCCGATCTCAGCGCCCTGTCACCGACGGGAATATCACGGGACTGCAGGGCATCAGCGCTGCAAAACCCACGGCCCGCAAGCGAACTGAAGCCCGAAAGCCCGGTTCAGCGTCCGAAGAGTAGCGCATCCCCCACCAAAAAGGGCAAAAAGGGCAAGAACTGTCACTGCTATAACCTGAACGACCACTTCGGCGCCTAGGCCCGTCGCATAGCAGCAAGGTCTTTTCCCTCCGATCTGACTTTAACTACCCCACGCGCCCACCACCTTACTCGCCCTGGACAGTTACAGCCGCGAGGTGTTGTTGCTTGCTGCAATGTAATGCAAGATGCAGCCGACCTTCCTCTCCTTTAACCTTTTGGACCGCAACTTCCCCATTCAACCCCCAAATTTGTCAGCGTGCCTTTTTGACAATATCCCAGAACAGGAAAGAGGGTCACAAACGACAGGACATTGGCACATCACAGCGGCCGCCGCCCGCCGCCGCCGCCCGCCCCCAACCCCAACCCCAACCCATCGCAACTTGAACCCGATCGGTTCCCGGTCAGGAAGGATAAAGTCCATCGGCCGAGCTTCTTTCAGCCGGCACTGGACGCCTGCTCTGCAGGGATAACAGCAGGTCCGGTCGGGCCCCGATGCCCGAGACATATGCAGAGTTAACCAAACAGCATCCATTGAAAACGTGGAACTCTGTGTTGATCCGATCCCGATCTCGGGACGATATGCCATCGTCAATCGGGGACGGCATGCTTGTCAATACCAACGCCATAGTTGACTGCCTTGCCTACCTACAATCACTGTGAATTCTTCGACGTCGGCGGGTACGGCACCACCTACCCAGCCATATCGACCGACCAACTAGATAGTCGACTGACCCCAAAACTTCCCTCCAAAAATAAAATAAAATAATCGCCGGTCCGGTTACGCACCCAAATTGAGTCCGAAATCCGGAACCTTTGTCTTGTCTGTAATACTACCACCTATGTATTTACGAGTATGTTTGTGCAACCGACCGGCGATTTCATTGCCCTTCCCGCCTGCCCCCTTCCCCCCCTGCCCCCTTCCCCCCCTGCCACCGACCCCGACCCATGGCCATCCCCAATCACCTAACTTGTTCGGACACGCGACCCATACCGTGGAGGAGACAGGAGAGGGCGGGAG